ACACACATACATACCACAGAGCTTCAAGTAGTTCATGGAAAAATTTCATTATTTCTTCGTTCCATTTCTACCAACTTTTTAAAGCCCCATTGTATATATTTTAGCTTTGGTGCCCTGCCAAAATTGCTCTATTGCTGTGTGAATTAGTTTACATGGTTTTCTCAAGTACTCTTACAGTTGTGATATGCTGTTTGGTTTGAGGTTGAAGTAAGAGCAGAAACACAGACGTGAGAACTGTAGTTGACTGACAGAAGCTATTGTCCCAGGGCTAAGATCTCTGAATATCTTTTGTTGTTGCCAGCTCAGATATTTGGGGAGTGTATGAGACATGCCTCTGCTAGTTTCTCTTAATAGCTCAGGAGTGTGGGAAGATTCCACAGTAGGTACACTCCTGCACAATCCCTTTATACTAGAGTTCTGGCAGAAAGAAACTAGATTATTCTCTTCTTTTTGACCTAACCTTTCTTTTCATTTTTGTTGTTCTATGCCGTCCAGTCAGTTCAACTCATAATGACCCTATATAGGGTTTCTGAGGAGTGGCTGGTAAGTTTGAACTGCTACCCTTGTAATTCAAACTGACCTTATGGTTGAGTGCTTATCTACTCCAGAAGTTTTTCACTCATGAGGCAAGACAGTTTGAAAAGGCACAGTTAAGACAGGAAGAAGTAATTGTGATGGGGATGTAAGGTCCACCAAGTATAAAGTATTCTGCTCGATATGTTGGCAGACTTTTGCCAAAACATTCTACATTTGACTTTACAAGGTTGGAACTCTGTTCAGTACTAAGGAGACCCAGAGTTTCCTTGGCAGTTTCCTTATTTCTTCAGACCTTGATTGATCACTTTGATTATTACGTGGGAGGTAACAAGGCTTACTGGAAAGGGCACTGGACTGCTAGTGTGCTAGTGAAATAGACATGACTTTTATTTCCTGGCTTACTCTCCAATTCTCTGTGACTATGAACATATTTCTGTACCTTCTTGGGAGAGACATGGAGTGGGACTAGATGATTTGATCCTTAAATGGGCTGGTAAGGCTAGTGTATGTTCCTTTGTAACCTCTGCTATGAATGTATAGATCAGGAGCTTAAGTTTTCATGAGAAGACGCTGCATTTTATTTTCCTAAAGCCATAAGCTTCTGCTTTTTCCTACTGCAATAGGCAAATACAGGCAGAGCATACTGGCCATAGATACTCAGGGTTGGATTGAGTCTTGTGCAGATGAAGTTCCATATTAAAATTATTGGAATGATACATGTTGATTTTATTCAACTTTTGAAGGGTATTGCTATTTTAAGACCCTCAGAATTTTGTACTTCAGATGATCTCTATGTTTTATATTTGTTTATGGCCATTCTGGCGTGTAAAGATGGATCAACACAGTGGCTGCAACAGTGGGTTCAAACCTAACAGCGAAGATGGTGCGGGACCTGCAGATTTCCGGTCTGATGTGCACAGGGTTGCTGTGAGTGGGAACTGACTTGACAGCACCTAACAACAACATGCAGTGTAATATTGATTAAAAATGGAAATTCTGGATCCTGAAATATGTACTGGGTCTTCTTGACTTAAGCATCCTGTTGTCACTGTACTTGGTGTCTGCCTAAGTCCCCATTTCAGAGCAGTTTTGATGATTCTGATCACAAAATACTAATACTGTCTCTCTCATTTGTTTTGTAAGCAAGCTGTTTATGCCTTTGGTGATTGGCCTGGGTGAATGAGTTCATAAGTTGCTCTTTCTTGTGGAAATGGAGCTCTGGACTTGGGAAGCTGCATAGCTTGCTGTCTGTTTACTTCTCCCTGTAAAATGACCATAGGGTGTTTCTGTTTTTGTGACCATAAAGTTCTAAGATTATATTTTAGAATTCCTAAGGTAGACGTGTCAGAGAAATAATTGGTTTGGTTATTCAGAATCTTATTTTTTAAATATCTTTTTAAAATTATAATAAGATACGTATAATAAAATTTGTCATTTTTAAATGCACAACATTTTAAAATGCATAATCACATTCACATTGATGTACAACTGTAACTGCTGTCTCTAAAACTTTTTCATATTTCCAAACAGTTAAATATTTACTATAGAACATTAGGATATCCCTTGTGTAAAACATAAAAACAATTTATCTATTTAAAACAATTTCTAAAAAGGTGTCTCAAAGAATCTAGTTACTGTCTCACCCTAATTTACAATTAGAGCCTAGTTTTAGAGGGGAAAATAAAGAAGCTTTTACGAATGACTACTTTAAACACACACATACACACAAATAGTTTAATAAAGAGCTCTCTACGTCTCTTTGAGCAGAACTCCCATGGGAAGATTCCCTGAGGGAATGTTTCTGCATGCTGTCATGGGTCTCAACCAAAATCATTTCCTAACCAAAGTATCATCGAGTCTTTCTGAACAAAATACAGCTGTTTAATCTGCATTGGTGTGTCTGACTCACCCATTTAAGTGCATGTAGGTGGTGGGTTAGATAGTAAGGTGGCAAAGAAGTACCACTTTTTGGTGCCAGTTGTCTTCCACCATTTGAGTGTTCACAGGTGGAATACAAGCGTTCACAGTACACAGTCTATAGAAGTAGCTGCTTGGAGAAGTAAGATCAAATGGAAACAGTGTTCATTGGGAGCAGAGAGTGTTGGTAGAGAAATTACTGCTACATCAGATGTCTCTTCATTTATCTGGCTATTCTGTAAATGAGACTGGAGCATTCTCCTGTGTAAATTAATGTGATTTGTCAGTAAAACCTTGTCTTAAATTCTTTCCCAAATGATAAAATGCTCATTTGGGAATATGAAAAAGTTTTAGAGACAGCAGTTTAGTGATGAGTGTTGGGATGATTGATTACACATCTAGCACTTCTCAGACATTTCCACTGAGATACTACTTCCTTCTCTGTGTTGTACCTTCTTTTGTGGCCCCTGCCCTCATGGGGTTTATCTTGTAAAGTGGAAAAAAATGAAAACAAAACTAAACATAACAATTGTTAGAAATTATGAAGGAAAGAAACAAGGAATGAGATATAAAATAACATTGGGGAGAGCTACTTTAAACAGGTGGTTGTTGTTAAGTGCCATCAAGTCGGTTCTGACTCATAGTGACCCTGTATAGTGTTTCCAGGGAGTGGCAGGTGGATTTGAACTGCCAACCTTATGGTTCAAATCAACAACATAAAATGCTGAAACCTGAAGGATGAAGAGGAGAGGGAAAGGAGAACAAATGTGCGCAAAGATCTTGGAGCAGAAAAGCATTGGTTGTGTTGGAAGAGTTGAAAGCCGACCTTAATGGATGTTGTGTAATGAGCAAAGAGGAGGCTAGAACAAGGTGGAGATGTAGACAGGAGCCAGCCTACTCAGAAACCTCTGAGGTTTAAAGCAAAGGAGTACCATGATTCCATTAATATTGTAAAGAACACTTTTGCTGCTGTGTTAGGAGGGAATTATGAGCCCTGGTGGTGCAGACAATTAAGTGCTCAGCTACTAGCTAAAATGTCACTGGAACTTACCCAGTAACTTCAATGGAGAAGTGATCTGCTTCCATAAAGTCAAGAAAATCCTATACAGCAGTTCATCTGTCATGCACGGAGTCACTATGAGTCAAAATAGACTCGTTGACACCTAACAACAACAGAAATGAATTTATGGTAGTAGGTAAGAAAAGAACTTCGTCTCTCATACTTTGGACATATTGTCAGGAGGGACCAGTCGCTGGAGAAGGATATCATGTTTGGTAATGTGGAGGGTCAGAAAAAAAGAGAGACTCCCATCGAGATGGATTGGCCAGGTGGCAGCATCTGTGTACTCAAGCGTGGCAACAGTAGTGAGGTTGGCCCAGGATCAGGCAGTGTGTCGTTTGGCTGTGCATAGGGTCGCTATGAAGTCAGTACCAACTCGATGTCACAAAGAAAATAAAGCAGGGAGAACAGTTAGGAGGCTATTAGTCAGAATGAGAGATGGTGATGGATTAGATTTGTATCAATGCAGATGAAGAGAAGTCGAAGAATTTAAGGTGAATCTTTATGTAAGAATTGACAGGACTTCTTGATGGATTGAATGTGAGAGGGTTAATTCAGACGAACTTACGTTTCAGGCTTACCCAATTAGGTAGATAGTGGAGTCATTTGCTGAAATAGACACTGAGAATTTGGGAGAAGTTTAGTTTTTGATTCTGAAGAAACATTTAAGTTGAATTACCAAATACTTGGTTGTTATTAGCATTTTCCATTTAAAATAGAGGGTGTGGCTTCCCTTTAATGACAGCACAATCTTTGCTTATGTTTGGTTAAATTCTTCTCTTATCCTTCATTTGTTCATGCTAAAAGTGTTTATTTTATGTGCCTGGTATTATTCTAGATGCTGGGGATATGTGTGTGAATAAAACAACCCACATGGAGATGGCCTGCAAATGAGGGTGGGAAGATAAATACTGAAAATCAATAATACTATGTTGTGGTTAAGTGCTGTTGAGTAGATTCTGACTCATAGTGACCCTGTACAGGGTTTCCAAGGCTGTAAATCTTTATAGGAACAGAAAGACTCATCTTTCTCCCGCAGAACAGCTGGTAGTTTCAAACTGCTGACCTTCAGGTTTGCAGCCCGAACCATAACCACTACGCTATTGTTGTTGTTAAGTGCCGTCGAGTCGGTTCCGACCCATAGCAACCCTGTGCAGAGTTTCTGAGGGTGTAAATCATTACGGGAGTAGAAAGCCTCATCTTTCTCCCACGGAGCGCCTGGTAGTTTCAAACC